TGCAGGTCATGAAACTAGAATTAGACTACAAGGAGAAGAACACGGGCTTAAAAGAGGATGGAAAAGAGAGGGCAGTGAAATATGTGGGCCATGAAAACAGAAGGTGCAAACTACTTGTGGATGGGAACACAAAGAGATATGCCTAAAACAGTGTTGATTAAACCAGGTAGCGTATGAACCCAAGAAATACATGAAATGATTGATATAGGCAAACTTCAGAAAATAAAAGCAAAAAAACCTTGAGATCACGTTGAAGGAATTCTGTTTTTGGTAGAAGAAAAAAGACAAAAAGAAAACCACGTAATTACAATGAGGCATGTAGTCCAAGGGATAAAGCACAATATTTGTTAAAGTGCTGAAATAGAAGCAATTTTCAATTCTGAATCTCTTGGTCTACATATATTATTCTCCAGGGTTATAGTGGAGATAAAAAGATATCATCAAAAGTAAACATAAGTGTTTCTCAATATGAGACATACTGCTAAAAAGGACTAAAGGAAGTTTACAAACAGAAGCAAATCTATAGATGTTGTGGGGTGCTGCGGGTTGCATTCCGCCACCCAGCTCCCACCACCGGCTAGCTTTACCCGAAATAACAACACACAAACTGTATTCATTTAAATCACTGCTTGGCCCATTTCTATCTAACCTCTTCTAGGCTAATGCTCACATATTAATTTAGCCCATTTCTAATAATCTGTGTTGCGCCCCTAGGTGCGCTTACCAGGAAGATTCTAGCCTATGTCCATCCTGGGCCTGAGCTTCATAGCGTGTGTCTGCCCAGGAGCCAGGAGAATGGCGTCTCTCTCAGGCGTCTGCTCCCGAGAGGAGAGCTGTGGAGTCTGAGCTCACTTCCTCTTCCTCCCAGCGTTCTGTTCTGTTTACTCCTCCCACCTATCTTCTAACCAATAAAATGGGCCAAGGCAGTTCCTTTATTAGCCAATGACCTTCCTCCATCATTTCCCCTTTTTCTGTTTAAACAAAAAAAAAAAGGCTTTAACTTTAACATAGCAAAATTACATATAACAAAACAGTTATCAAGTAAAAGTTACAATAATCTTTATCATAACTAAGGAAAACTATAACTATAACTAACTATTCTTAACTCCATCAAAGACTCCAGAAAGATACAATACTACCTAAGCAAACAAGAAAAAAGCAACTTTTAAAACTCTAGAAATGACAGAGACATCTTGCTGCCTGGATAGTCACCCAAGGTTCCTCTGTACCGTTGGGGCATCCATCTTCAGCCTTCAGGCCCATGGTATTCAGCAGACATTTCCATAAAGCAGGAAAATTCAAAGTCAGTTCAGTCACTATCTGTTGTGTCCTGCAGAATGTCTCGCAGACTTTTTCATGAATCAGGAACCCCAAAAGATCATCTCACCTTAGGCAAGTTCAGTAGTCCTCTCTCTGTGGGTTCTCTGTGTCCAGTTTATGCAATAGTCCAGGCAAGAGCAGTTTCTTGCCCAAATGGCTATCAAACTCCATAAGGTGCCTCTTCGATGCCCATCTTCCTCTTAAAGTAGATTGGTGCTGCCAGGCGCAGAGTGTCTCATTGTCATAAAATGTCCTAAGTTATTAAAACATTTAAAATGCCATATTCTATAATCTTTGAAAGATATGAAGAATGCCTATCTAAAATATATCTATGTACATCTAGAAAATCTTAACTAACATGACTACAAACTTGACTATTATGATTATCAATTAACAATCTATATTTCTAATTATACATTATATTTTTAAATGAACTACACAATCACAATACCTTAATCAAGATCAAGAAATACATATACATATAACCAAATTGACCTTAAAATCCATACCAATGCAAATTATTCATACCTATATCATTTGCCCCTTTAAATGTAAAAGAACATTTATAAACAATATTTGGGAACATGGGCGCAGTTTTTTCTCTCCAAACTGCTTCCTGCTGAATGGGGGCGTCATTAATTAGGTCTTTCATGGTATAACCTGTGTGCTAGTTTCATCTCAGTTGGCAGTTGAGCGAAGCAATTTTCTGAAGATGTTCACAACAACCCTTCAGGAGGGTGTGGTCCATCATACCATATCGGGATAAATGCAATCCACAAGGTCTGATCCTCTGTGAAAACAAAAGAAGAATCTCTTTTCCAAAGTATCATATCCTTAGATCCAAATTCTAAATATCTATGTTGGATTAGTTCAGCAGCATTTATAAATAAATATCTTTTAGCAGCTGTTGCTCCTTCCTCAGCATTCAAATAATTCAAAGAGAGCATAATAGCATACAGTATCAAAATTCTCTGTGTATTTTACATCTTTGTGCAGCTTTGTTTTAACCTCTATTTTGTTTATTTTTACTTTTAACTCTTTGCTTTTTGAGACAGGTTCTCTGTATCTTTGACCTGTAGTAACTCTGTAGACCAGGCTGTCTTTGAACTCTCAGAGATCCGCCTGTCTCTGCCTCCCAGGCATTCGGGATTAAAGGTGTACACTACTACACCTTGAACTCACAGAGATCTGTTTGTCTCTGCCTTCTAGGCACTGGGATTAAAGGCGTGTGCTACCACACACAACAACTCTCTTCCTTTTTTTGTTTTTTACTTTAAGAACTTCAACTTTTAGTCTGCATATATTTTTAACACACTTTAAACCATTTAAAAATTTTCTTTGTCTTTTAATCTCTCTTTACTGTATATCTCTCTTTTTCTGACCACATGAGTCTTTAATTTACCAAGCAATATCAGTAGGATTAAAGGTGTGGCTTTGCCGACTGGATCCAGCCCATTCCTTAGCTTTCCAGCCTCATGGCTGAGGTACTGGCTGTAGCCATGTTTACTGCCACAACTCTATGGCATTTCAAGGTCCCTGCCAGCAAGCGAACTTCAGCAGCCTGTGCTTGCAAACCGCACGAACCGCCTGCGTAAAAGAGTCAGAGTTTGCCCTGGCAGGACAGCCCAGAAAGCGGCATTTTTATTTTTATTTATTTATTTTTTTTCTTTTTTTTTTTTTATTGAGAAAAGGAGAAAAAAAACAAGTTTCCACCTCCTCCCAGCCTCCCATTTCCCTCCCCCTCCTCCCACCCTATGCCCCCTCCTCCCACCCTTCTCCCCCTCCCCCCACTCCTTTCCCCCTCCCTCTCCAGTCCAAAGAGCAGTCAGAGTTTACTGCCCAGTGGAAAGTCCTAGGACCTCCCCCCTCCGTCCATATCTAGGAAGGTGAACATTTAAACTGGCTAGGCTCCCACAAAGCCATCACATTACGTAGGATCAAAACCCCGTGCCATTGTCCTTTGCATCTCATCAGCCCTCATTTTTCGCCATGTTCAGAGAGTCCAGTTTTATCCCATGCTTTTTCAGTCACAGTCCAGCTGGTCTAGGTGAGCTCCTAATAGATCAGCTCCACTGTCTCAGTGGGTGGGTGCATCCCTCGTGGTCCCGACTTCTTTGCTCATGTTCTCCCTCCTTCTGCTCCTCATTGGGACCTTGGGAGCTCAGTCCAGTGCTCCAGTGTGGGTCTCTGTCTCTATCTCCATCCATCACCAGATGAAGGTTCTATGATGATATGCAAGATATTCGTCAGTATTGCTCTAGGATAGGGTCATTTCAGGTTCCCTATCCTCAACTGCCCAAGGAACTAACTGGGGACCTCGGCTTGGGCACCTGGGGGCCCCTATAGAGTCAGGTCTCTTGCCAACCCTAAAGTGGCTCCTTTAACTAAGAATTGTGGTTCCGTGCTCCCCTGTCCAACCTTCCTTTATCCCAATCCTCCTGTTTTCCCAAGGCCCGACCTCCTTCCCTTCTAACTTTTCTCTCCCCATCTCCCCTTACCCCCATCCCACCCCACCCCCAAGATCCCAATTTTTTCCCCGGCAATTTTGTCTACTTCCCTTAGCCAAGAGGATAACTATATGTTTTTCCTTGGGTTCCCCTTCTTACTTAGCTTCTTTAGATTCACCTATTGTAGACTCCGTGACCCTTATTTATGGCTAGAAACCAATTATGAGTGAGTATATCCCATGTTCATCTTTTTGGGTCTGGGATACCTCACTCAGGATAGTGTTTTCTATTTCCATCCATTTGCATGCAAAATTAGAGAAGTCATTGTTTTTTACCGCAGCGTAGTACTCTAATGTGTAGATATTCCATACTTTCTTCATCCATTCTTCCATTGAAGGGCATCTAGGTTGTTTCCAGGTTCTGGCTATTACAAATAATACTGCTATGAACATAGTTGAACAAATGCTTTTGTCATATGATAGGGCATCTCTTGGGTATATTCCCAAGAGTGGTATTGCTGGGTCCAGGGGTAGGTTGATCCCGAATTTCCTGAGAAACCGAAACACTGACTTCCATAGTGGTTGCACAAGATTGCATTCCCCGCATTTTTAAATGGCGCAGCTTTTTTTCTGCTATGGCTGAAAACTGAAAAGCATGCGTTCAGCTTTTCGTCAACACCATTTAAGTGTTTCGTGGCAGGACCTCTTAAGAGCTGCAGGGTTTTGCAGCTGAAGCTGAGTCAGGAAGCCTCTCTTAGATGAGGCGCTTGCTTGCCTCTAGCAAGCAGAGCAGACCCGAGAACACAGCGAGTCTAGTTGCCATCAAACAAATCGTAGCACTTTACTCCAAATGCTCTATTCAAAAGCTCTGTCTCCCTCAGGAGCCAGAAAGAGATCGCAATGGCGGCACAGCCCCAGGAAGTCGCACTTTAAAATGACACAGCGTTTTTTCTGCTACTGTTGCCGAATCAGGAAATCTCTCTACAGCATGCCACCAACGAACAGCAAAAATCTGTGTTAAACTCTCTCTCCCTTATTTGTAAGCCTTCTCAGGTTTTTTAAGTGGGTTTAGTCCATCACATCGGGCGCCAATCTGTAACGGCGTAAACAAATGCAGACAGATTGTAAAAAAATATATATCTATAGCTTTAATGTAGAAATAGACTTACAGAAGCACCGTTCCCGTGGAGACCAGGAAAGCAGAAGTGATGGCTGGGAGCATGCTCGCCAAATTTATAGGCAGACATTAGCCCGAGGCGAACACGCCCCCCAAGGGGCGGGACCTATCCCTACATATAGAGGAAACATAGAAATATCTGGAAGAAGGAAAAATAAAATCAATGCAGAAAATGATTAAACAAAACACAAATTTCATTTTCCTCTTAATATCTCTCAGTTCTGTGTGATGTTTTAAGCAGGAAGCATAGTGATGTGATGTGGTCCTCTATAGACATAGAGTAAATGTATTGTAGATTTTGTTCTTACAAGGGGTGATTGTGAAGGAGCTATAATTACAATAATATCAAATAGGGTTAGACTCGCAGGCAATCACAATGTTTGAGTTCCACTCTCTAGCTCTTATCAGGGAGATCTTGGATAGCTGCTGTAACATACTTACTCCAAAGTGCTTTGGTCTTTCTATCCAGCTGAGATGAGAAGGCATTTATGCACACAGGATCATGTTTAACCTCAGGATTGCTAATGAACAGAAGATGAGGTATTGTTATTATATTGAATGGATAAGGATGGGGGAAGGGATCTAACTCACCCTTTTGTCCCAATGTTCTGTCCGGTCTGGCAGACATCACAGCACACTGGGTTCTTCCATACAAACTCCTGCTTCTGGGTTGCAGATATTTCCCTTTATGTTTACACTAGAAGGTAGCAGAAGGGAAAAGAAAACTCATGAAATAGAGGAAACCAGGATGAGGAAGCACATAAATCCCAGGGGATGGAATGATGGTGCTTGTCTGTGCAGACGACATCAATGGAAGGTACACAATGATGTTTTTCCTCCTCCCAGGTCATCTCACCACCCTGGGCATATACAGTGATAACTGTGACTGCAGACACATACTGGGAATGTGAGCTTGTGCATTTCCCATTCCCATGGCAAGAACTCCCCTTCTCTGTGTGCACTCAGGCCCCTACTTTCATGCCACAGCCTTCCATGGGCAGCACAAAGGGGGCAAGGGAAATCGGCCAACCACAAAAATACACAGGTTTTGTTTCCTCTCCATTCAGGCCCTGAAAATGATTCTTTGAGGTAGGCATCATTACTTCCTTTCCATACAGGGGCTCAGAGAGTACAATGCGTAGACCCAGGAAATTCTCCAGAGGCACCAGATGAACACAGATGCCATCTTAAAAGGATTCCTCTAGCCATACTGGGACAAATGGAGCATGGAAATAGAGAACAGCAATAGAGGAAAACAGTTTGGGAAAATGGGTGTTGAGCCATACTGATATCGGTCAGCACATGAGTAAAGAACTATGGAGATAAGTAAGCAGTGTACTACACACCAGGTCATCATTGAAGAGGACCAGGAGAATTATAACACATAGCCTATCACAGCAGTAAGTGATTAACTAACTTTCACACATATATATCCAGGGACATATTTGCACAAGCATGAGTATATACACAACACACACTAACAAATGTCAATGTAAACACACAGCTCTCACCTCGAAGGAAGAAGAGAGTTCATTCTGGAGTCAAATATCTGTGAGTAAACATGAGTGAGACAGGTTTATGTTAGTACAAATTGCAAGTTACAATGTGGAAACAGTTTCATGAAGTTTTTATAATCACAGAATGAAGAAACTATAGACTCTCCTTAAGTACATGGGTGATAATATTAAGTAGACTGTTATGGTAAAGCAGAGAAACCTCAGCTACAGGCACTAGCTGCTATGTGATGAAAAGCAGTCCTTTGACTGGTAGAAACTTAAAGCTTTGATAAGGAGACATATTCTGATATTTTAAATGTCAGGTCCAACGTCATCTGTTAGTGACAAGGTGTTAAGTAAGTCCAACTCAGGGGGCCCAAGGAGTGGCTACTCATGGGCTCAAGAGAACACAAAGGAAATTGTAATTAGGCCCTGGGACTGCGACTTCCACCATCTCCATATCACTGCAGGTCTAAGAGTCAATCAACCAGGCTTTGCAGACCAGCCTCTGCCAAGGAATTCCTGTACACACACACACAGACACACAGACACACAGACACACACACACACACACACACACACACACACACACGACACCTCTCATTCTCACTCTCCTAGCTCCCTGGTGTTTACTGAGAGCTCAAGGGGTACAACCACGTTAAAACACATTCATCTCTGACCACACACAGGATAGTGAGAGCTACAAAATTATGTATGTCTTTTGCGTGTGATATCTGTGACGATGGCCATGGACTTGTCTCTGGGACATTTCTCTCATTTGTTTCTGACTGTCAATAATAACCTGTAAATGCTGATAAGGAAAGGGGGAGAAACTGCATTACACATCAAATGAAGTTCCCATCACGGAATAATCCATGCTTTCAACAAAAAAGATTATATCAGACTTAAGAGTTCCATATGTCTTCCCAGGGCATATGCCTTTGAGGTTAGGTTATGCAGGGCCTCTCATTTAATAAATTATTTTCCTATGATTGTGGTCACATTGAGAAATCTACTTTGCATTCATCTGCAATTATTAATCGGCTTTTATACTTTCTTGTAATTCTCCTTCAATCCATATTTTGCTGTGTGACTGAAATATAAGTATGAAAGATTTGCATTCTCCTACTGAATTTTACACATAACATTACTGCATGTTTTAAAATTGTTTTATTCCACTTTAGTTTTAGTTCTTTCTTAAACGTTAAGATTATAACTCTAGATTTCTAATAATTCGTTCCTGGATGGTATGTGTTTACTTCTTTTTAAGTGTTCAAGTTAACATTTTAATGCCTTTGTTTCAGATATATGTCTTGAAAAAAGCAATCATTTTAGAGTCTATTTCAGTCAGCAATAAGAACATCGGTTATTTTTGGCTTTTGTTTTGTGTTTGGTAAGTTATGTCCATTTACATTTTTTACATTTATTTGTCTGCCTATTTTGTGTGTCTGGCAAGGCCATACATGATCTACAGTGTACTTGTAGAGGTCAGAGGACAACTTGCAGGAGTCATTTCTCTGCTTCCACAATGTGAGTCCTGGGGATCCAACTGAAGTCATCAGAAGCAGTACTCGGGCTTCTATTACACTTTAATACGATCTACATATAAGGTGAGTCACACAGTATACCTTTTTGTCCAACATATTTACTTGTAAACTTTCATTGCAATGAGTCATTGAACTTGTTCATGGCCTCTAGTTTCTGGTACACTATCATCATGGGACCCACAACAAAACTCCTCTAGGATATCCTGCAGTCACCCCAAGTAACAGAGATTCTGCAGGTATTGTTCCCCAGGACCAGTCAATTCCAGCATTCCAGTAGGCCTTAGATGGTGTAGATGTTAGGATGGGCCAAGCCAAGAACCCCAATATGGACCTGGGTGGTAGCTGAGCTGATCAGCTGCCTGCCTAAGGATAGGGCCGAAGCCAGCTCACCTATGCCCATGGCACCAGGCCCAGTTTTCCAATGCCCATGGTGAGGTGTGGGACTAGCTCTCCTGTGAAAGTCAGGGCCAGCTCTTGACACAATGTCCACCAAAGGGCAGAACCAGCTCACTCTGGCCCTTGGATATCATCATTCATGGCTCTTAAGGCCCCCTGTAGTAACATGGGCCACAAACATCAGCACATACCCTAGCTCTGGTAGGACCATAGACCCAACATGATCCTGGCAACAACTCGTCCTTGATGTCACCATTTCCCGGGTGGTTTCACAGACCACACAGATCAGGATGGCACCAGCTGCAGCAAAGCCTTTGGACACCAACGTGGCCTCAGGTGGTGGCCCACACCTCAGGCATCCGCATGGCCTTCAATGGTAACAGGAGTCAGGAAGACAAAGACCCTGGCTACTGCTGGGTCACAGATATGGCCCTGGTCAGCAGCTCAGGCATGGACAACACCATGGCCCAGGTTGGCAGCTCGGGTCTCTCAGATCATTGTCACTCCAATGGCAACACAGCGCTCAGATCCCAACAAGGCCAGAGGACACAGCCCAGACTCCAGGCTCCTGTGTGCCCTTTGGTGGCAGCGTGGACCATGGATGTTAACATAGACCCAAGCTGCAATAAGAACAGAGACCCAGAAATGACCTTTGGTAGCAACCTCGGTCCTGATGACCCCATGACCATGAATGAGAAGAAGACCACCCCCTCAGCCTGTTCCTTACCACCTTCTATTCTCCCTCTTTTCACAGCACATGAACCATCCCCCTACTCTTTCTCTCCTGTTTCTCCACCACACATTTTGCTCATTGTAATGGAAGCCTTGTAGCTCTGGGCAGGCCTCTGGTTGTCTACCAGCCAGACCAGGCTTTGAGGACTCTGGCTGGACTGTGATTGGCTAGTACCTTCTGGACCTGGATGCCATAAGGCAGAGTGGAGATGTCTTTCTGCCAGACAATGAGTACAATTAAAAACATATATGTGTAGTGTAAACATTTCAGCTCAAATGTAAAGGGATCCTGGCCGTCCAGATGCAAGGAATACCACAAAGTCAGTATAAGCTTAGCAGCTTACAGATCTGCTTCAGGGAAAGCTTTCCTCAAAGTAACAGCTCTGCTCCATCAGGAAAGTTGTTACAGCTTTGGTCAAATGACAATTAACATATCAAGAAACTGAGAAATATTTTTCCAAGTTATTGTCCTATTTCCCATGGCTACCAGCAGTCAGTATGATAGTTTCATCCCCCACAACCTTGCCAGGTCTTCGTATTATTATTTCTGAATATTTTGTGGGGGTGTCAAGAGTCCCCTAGAGTCACCTGTCTCTCTTCCCTAAGTGTTAAGGATGTTGATGCTGTATGTTCCGCTTAGTGGAGCATCTACTCACCCTTCTGGACAACTTTTATTTCATGAATTGTGTATTTTCTTAGTGACTCTTTTTTAGGCTTTCTGTATTCTGGAAACAATAAGGCTGTCATCTAATACACAATTTCCTACATTCATTTTTTCCCAGGCAGGGAAAATATCTTTTATATCACAGTGTACATTTTTCACTTTATGGAAGTCCTAACAGTCCAGTTCTTCTTTTCATAAAAGGGGTTTGTTATATCTATGAATTTTGTCTATAATTCTTTCAATTGCTTTCTGTTACAAGATTCATGCTTAGGTTGTATTTTGGATTAATTACCTTTTAGATTTGCTTTCACTATTTACTGGGTATCTGCCTATATGTTTGTGTGTGCCGTATGCACATTTGAATGCAGATGCTTGCTGAGACCAGAAAAGACTGTCAGCTCCCCTGGATCTGGAGTTATAGGTATCTCTGGGCCACCATATGGGGACTGTAAGCTGAAGTCAGGTCCTCTGCAATAGCCAAAGGCACTCTTAACCTCGGAGATGTCTCTCTAGTCCTATGTAGATCATTTGTTAATTTTGGTTGACTTTTGTATCCGGTGATAAACAACTTGTCTATATTTATATTTGTCCATGAGGATGCCCACTTGTCCCATAATAAGACAGAAAAACAGGGCATTGAAGGGGATATGAGAGGGGAATACACAGCCCCTCACCCTGTGATCATTTTTTTTTTTTTTTTTGGATTTTCGAGACAGGGTTTCTTCATAGCTTTTTAGTTCCTGTTCTGGAACTAGCTCTTGTAGACCTGGCTGGCTTCGAACTCACAGAGATCTGCCAGCCTCTGCCTGCCAAGTGTTGGGATTAAAGGCGTGAGCCAACACCACCCGTCCCTGTGATCATTTTTACATTTTTCTAACTGACATTCAAGAAGCCTCCACCCAACTGATAGAGTCGAAATTACCCACAGATATAATGCAAGTAGTACTAAAGACATCCCAAATAGTGTTTAAAAAATACAGCAAATAAACTAGGGTCTGAGGATAGGGTTCATTCTTTAATATCACTGGATGTCTTCCAGAGGATCCAGGGTTGATACCCAGCACCTACCTGATGATTCACAACTGTCTGTACTCCAGTTCTGAGAGATCTCAAACTCTGGTGTCCTCTGTGAGCAATAGGTATTCACTCAGATGGTGCACAGACTTCCTTGTGAAAAACATTAAAAAAATTAATTAATTATGCTTACTTAGGACCAGAATGTTTGCAGAATCACATATTCACCTTACAATTTAATTTACTAAAATTTTTTTAAAAGGGATAAGAACATTTAAAAGCATTATTATTTTTTACTTTTAATAACCTATTGTATATTTTCTTCAAGTGGAAAAACAGAACCATTTCAAAGACTCAAAGCATGTAATTTTCAAACAATGTAATAATGTAACAATGTAACTCTGAGAACCATAAAAATCTTCACATTTCTCACTCTCCTGCCCTCCTCACACACCCTAATCTCAAGTCTCTCTAGTCCTCACTCAGGCCTTCATTCCTGAGCCATCCCTATACTATGTGAGCTTCTTCCATAGCATGAATAAGCTCACAAGCTTTGCTTCATTCTGGCTTTTCCTGAAATTCTTTTCTGCAGCCTAATCATAGATCCAGCTTTACCAAGGTCATGGTCATCAAAGGAACAGGGTTATCCTTAGGCAGCTGATCACGATGCTGGGCTGTACCTCCTATAACCACCAACAGTCCCAGAAAAACTCGGTGACCAGCATATGCCTGCTTCACTGAAGTGTCTTTGTGTCTTTGCTAAAGGTGTCCCCTCACACGTGTGTGACTCTTCTGTCCCCTTCATATTCTTTTCTGTCTTATTGTAATTACCAATGAGGCACACTGTCTTCATTTCTCTATGTTTATAAGGAGTTTGGGAGTCAGGTGTTCATCTTCCAAGTTTGTTCCTTTTCAAGGTTGTCAATGTCAGTTCTCTTCTATGAGAAGTACAACAAGACTGTAGAGAGTACACACAGAAGGTTGACAAGAAGCTGACATGAGCCCTTGTTTCCAGTATGTGAGTCATCAGTGTCACCAGTGTGTGAGTGTGTGTGTGTGTGTGTGTGTGAGTGTGTGTGTGTTTGTGTGTGTGTGTGTGTCTGTATAGGAAGGGTCAGTGAGATCAACAAAGAAGAGGAAGATGTCACTGCACATCTTTGACTTGACTGGATGCAGACAGACTACTCCATCCCTATATTCACTACAGTAGAGTGCATGAGCGTTCTCATCTGCCTTCCTCCCCTCTCCATGAGATTTCTCTCCTCCTTCTCTGCCTTCTAGTAGAGCAGGGGAGAAAACAGTGAACTTTCCATGCAGAACCAACTCCTGGAGAAGAACCAAGTGTGGTGTGGTCTGGTCAGCCTGTTACCTGAGCAAGAGTGACAAGATCATGTGGGACTCACCAGGTCAGTCATTTCCTTTTCTCTTCCCATCCGTGTGACCAGTAGCTGGTCTGTGATGCCTTGTAGGAACACATCCTGTTGAGCAGGTAGCAGCATAGTGCAGCACACTGTAGAACAATGACATTCATAGACTCCCCAGATGACAGAAGTCTGCATGGGTTCCTTTAAATGACCCGGACTGAAATGGACGCCATCCCCATCAGACCATTTCCCCGAAAGGGCCATGCATTACTGCATCACATTTGCAGGGAGTGCTTATTAAAATGGTAGATATCTGTGTCCACGACAGACACTAAATCATGCTTATTAAAATGTTAGATATCTGGGTCCACAACAGACACTGAATCAATACCTGAGAAGTGGGGTGTGGCATAGCCACTTCTTTCTGATGGCTGTCCAGACTGAGAAGCTTCTGTAAAGCAAAGGACACTGTCGCTAAGACACAAAGGCAACCCACTAACTGGGAGAAGATCTTCACCAACCCCGCAACTGACAAAGGTCTGATCTCCAAAATATATAAAGATCTCAAGAAACTAGACCGTAAAAGGCTAACCAACCCAATTATAAAATGGGGCATTGAGCTGAACAGAGAATTCTCAACAGAAGAACTTCAAATGGCCAAAAGACACTTAAGGTCATGCTCAACTTCCTTAGTGATCAGGGAAATGCAAATCAAGACAACTTTAAGATACCATCTTACACCTGTCAGAATGGGTAAAATAAAAAACACCAATGATAGCCTTTGTTGGAGAGGTTGTGGAGAAAGGGGTACACTCATCCATTGCTGGTGGGAATGCAAACTTGTGCAACCACTTTGGAAAGCAGTATGGTGGTTTCTCAGGAAATTCGGGATCAACTTACCCCTGGACCCAGCAATACCACTCTTGGGAATATACCCAAGAGAGGCCTTATCATACAACAAAAGCATATGCTCTACCATGTTCATAGCAGCATTGTTTGTGATAGCCAGAACCTGGAAACAACCTAGATGCCCTTCAATGGAAGAATGGATGAAGAAAGTATGGAATATATACATATTAGAGTACTACTCAGCAGTAAGAACCAAGGACTTCTTGAATTTTGCATACAAATGGATGGAAATAGAAAACACTATCCTGAGTGGGGTAAGCCAGACCCAAAAAGAGGAACATGGGATGTACTCACTCATATTTGGTTTCTAGCCTTAAACCAAGGACATTGAGCCTATAATGAGTGATACTAGAGAAGCTAAATAAGGAGAACCCAAAGAAAAACATATAGGCATCCTCCTGAATATTAACCTTCAGCAGGCGATGAAAGGAGACAGAGACAGAGACCCACATTGGAGCACCGGACATAAATCTCAAGGTCCAAATCAGGAGCAGAAGGAGAGAGAGCACGAGCAAGGAACTCAGGACCGCAAGGGGTGCACCCATACACTGAGACAAAGGGGATGTTCTACTGAGAACTCACCAAGGCCAGCTGGCCTGGGTCTGGAAAAGCCTGGGATAAAACCGGACTCTCTGAACATAGCAGACAATGAGGACTACTGAGAACTCAAGAACAATGGCAATGGGTTTCTGATCCTACTGCACACGCTGACTTTGTGGGAGCCTAGGCAGTTTGGATGCTCAACTTACTAGACCTGGATGGAGGTGGGGTTCCTTGGACTTCCCACAGGACAGGGAACCCTGATTGCTTTTCGGGCTGAGGGGGGGACTTAATTGGGGGAGGGGGAGGGATATGGGAGGCGGTGGCGGGGAAGAGACAGAAATCTTTAATAAATAAATAAATTAAAAAATTAAAAAAAAAGTATTGCTAGTGGGTTTTACATTCTGTCTTTCAGGATATGGATCACAGACTGCTTAATTCCATACAATGTCCTCTTGTTAATCCCATAAATACCAGTGTGTTACATGGCATAGCAAATAGATAAATCAATTCCTTCATGTATGTTTATCCAGATATTCACATAGTGGCCTCTTTTGTGAGCACCGGGTTCCTGCACTGAGAAGACTAGCAGAGTTAGATGGCTAAATTGTCAGTAAGTAGAGGATAGCAGTAATTGCAGCAACTCCATATGTTATTTGTGCTTTAAAGAACTCAAGGTGGACATAAAATGGCTGTGATGGGGGATTGTTGTAGGTGGGGTTCCCCCCAAAGGTCGGTTTCATCAGGTAGCATTTGACTCGAGTCCTGATTGACAAGAAGAAGAAGGGATATACAAGCCTTGTTGGTGGGCTTGTCCACATGGACCTCATTTGGTCTACGAGCAGAGGACAAGCCTAGAGGCTGGCGGGACAGTGTAGTCATGTCGGTGTGAGGTGGAAAGGGTAGATGACTCTCATAGTCTTTCAGTTGTATTATGACTATGAAAGGAAGATTTGGAGAGAGTCACAATTTCACTCTTGTTGTTGTTATGTTATTGTGTGTAGAATGAACTGAGTAGAAACTGTTGCGAGAGTGGGTTGGAACAGCCATTATGATCAACGGGAGCCATGCAGCTGCAGTGTGTAGAGAGTGGGACCTTTGGCCATGGCTGCTGTTGGCAGGGCAGTGACTGTGCATGGGGCTTATGGGGAAGAGGCGGGGCAAAAATTCCTGGGCTTTTCTGGCTCCATGTCCACATAGTGGTGCTGTTTTCTGATAACAGTTGTTTCTTGTATTTTTGAGACATTCCCTGGATGGTTTGGAAACCCAATGACCCTTATCGTGAAACTTGGTGATTTAATGACACACATCAGTTGATGAAGAAGCTTCTCTCATCTCTCCAGCAATACTTGCTCACCTTAGTGACACCTGGAAGTGTCATACAATGTTCACCTCCCAGAGGAGTAGTAGTAATGGCACTAGTGGTAAAGGTAGTAGTAGTGATAGTGGTGGTGGTATTGGTGGTGGTGGTGATGGTGGTGGTTGTGGTGGTGTTAGTGGTGGTGATGGTGTTAGTGGTGGTGGTGGTGGTGGTGGTGGTGGTGGTGGTGGTGGTGGTGATGGTGGTGGTAATGGTGGTGGTGTTAGTGGTGGTGGTGGTGGTGCTGGTGGTGATGGTGGTGGTGGTGATGGTGGTGGTGGTGGTGGTGGTGGTGGTGGTGGTGATGGTGGTGATGGTGGTGGTGGTGGTGATGGTGGTGGTAATGGTGGTGGTGGTGGTAATGGTGGTGGTGTTAGTGGTGGTGGTGGTGGTAATTTTGGTGGTGGTGTTAGTGGTGGTGGTGGTGGTGGTGATGATGGTGGTGGTGGTGATTTTGGTGGTGGTATTAGTGGTGGTGGTGGTGATGATGGTGGTGGTGGTTGTGGTAGTAGTGATGGTGGTGGTAATGGTGGTGGTGGTGATGGTGGTGGTGCTAATGGTGGTGTTGGTAATGGTGGTGGTGTTAGTGGTAATGGTGGTGGTGGTGATGGTGGTGGTGGTGGTGGTGGTGTTAGTGGTGGTGATGGTGTTAGTTGTGGTGGTGGTGGTGGTAGTGGTGGTGGTGGTGGTGGTGGTGGTTGTAGTTTCACCTCTGGGACCTCTGAACTCGCCAACCATGGGATCATGATCAGATTTATAGTACTAGGCAAGTGTTTCCTCCTGTGGAGTGGGCCTTAAATTGAAACATAAAGTTACTTGGTTACCTCTGTGATATTCATGCCACTGTTGACCCATGGGTATATCTTGCCATGTTGGCCATTATTGTAGTTCACAGAGGAATAAGAACATTG